CTGTGCCTCCTTAATATCACTTCCTTCCGTCACTCCCCCCTCCAGGATCAGCCAATGCTCGCAGTTGTGCGGGCTGCAGCAGAACGTGTATTCGTACCGCTCACCATCGGAGGAGGTATCAAAGATACAGTCGATCCCGATGGCACGAAACGCTCTGCTGTCGAGGTCGCTGGTGCATATTTCCGAGTCGGCGCTGACAAGGTTAGCATCGGCTCTGAAGCAGTCTACGCTGTCGAGAAAGTTCGCGCAGCCGGCGGTATATTAGACGGCAGCAGCGCCATTGAAACCATTTCGAAGGTATATGGCTCTCAAGCCGTCGTCGTTTCCATAGACCCCAAAAGAGTATACGTCGATCCCACCACATATGATGGCCCCTACAAGGATGAGCTTGTACATGGTCGACCAGACAGTCCCGAAAGCGAGCGAGGCAAAGCTTGGTGGTACCAATGTACCGTGTCAGGTGGTCGCGAGACTCGCCCTGTGTCAGTTGTGCAACTCGCGCAAGGTGCACAGATCCTCGGCGCCGGCGAGATCCTTTTAAATAGCATCGATCGCGATGGAACAGGCCTCGGCTTTGATCATGACTTGATCGGGCTCGTGAAGCGCGCAGTGACTATTCCTGTTGTTGCGAGCAGTGGAGCAGGCACCAAGGAACATTTTGTGAGCGTGTTTGTTGAGACGGGCGTGGAAGCTGCTCTTGCCGCGGGGATATTCCATCGGGAGGAAGTTGGGATACACGAAGTCAAGTTAGCTTCGAGGCTGGCCGGTATCAACGTCAGATCATGAAGAAGACATCTAAAATTATAGACTGTTCGTATTGTAGCTGTGATCGAGGGGTACGGTACTGTGTGATCTTCTATCTATAGTGCACTTTTCTATAGAAGACTACCGTCAACACATTGTAGAACCAATTGATCAGAACATCTGTAGATGTATCTTCGAAAAGCGTTTAATGAAAACCTCAGGGTATTGACTGCCACTGCATACTCTTACAACAGGAAGTGTGGTAGAAAAATGCAGAGTAAATAAACCGTCTCGCGCGTATATGTAGATTTTTACAAACACCGTAATGGATACAAGCATGGGGTCAGGAGCGTCGACGACGAAGGGAGAAAAACACAACCGATTCCTAGGCATATCTCGTCCTAGCTTTGGACGAGAGAAGAGAAACAGGGTAGCGATCATGGCTGTAAAAGTGCAAGAAAGGACAAAAACTAGAGTGGTCTCAACAAGACATGCGTATGGGGGGCTAGCGGTCAAATACTCAGATACATCCGGGAATCGAGGACTAGGCTCATTTTGGGCCCCTGACTACGTCCTTCACTTTCTTCAATAAACTAGTTTTTCGTCCAAGGCCGCCCAATGGCGGAGAACTGGGTGCACCGTCAAAGTATCCGCGTCTGTCTTCGGCGGATGGTGTGCGAGTTGTCGCTGGAGCATAAGGAGTGGCAGGTAGTCGTTTGTCCCTACGCAGATCATCGACGTATACATATGCTTCATCTGAAGGAGGTGAAGTGTTTGGACGACCGGGACCGTTGTAGCCATTGGAGAAGCGCCCAAGGAACGAATTTTGTGACCGATGTGTAGGGCGCGATGGCTGGTAGATATCCGGATTGGGAGAAGGAGGCTCGACACTCTCGTCAAAACCCAAGGGCACATTTGGGGAGTCACGCATTTTGCGAATGCGCTGCATCAATGATTTGGTGCGTTTTGGGACTCCTGGCAGTGACGGAGACCCCGGTGCGCTGTCATAATCGGTACCCTGGGCTTCTGGCACAAGGATAGGCTGCGGGGGCGGGATACCACCGCGTTTGGTGCGTCTTCCTTCTCTCTCACCGCTACGCTCTCGGTCGCGGGCTTGCATCTGTTTCATATCGTCGTCGGGGTACTCTCTATACACATCACGAAGGTCACGCCCGTCCTTGGAGCGTTTTCCAAGGGAGTGTCGCGGCGTGCCGTTCCGTGACCCGTGGCCCTCCCTCCCGGCGTATATTGAATTAGACGGTGTGTCACCATCACGTCTGCCAGTACCCCCACCTGCAAAAAATTCCTCATACGGTTCTGGCTCATGGATACCCCAGGCCTCTGCGATGGCGTCGACTTTCTTCTTTGGGGGTTGGTAGGTAGCAGAAAAGGCGCCTTTGTAAGCGTCAGGTGTAGGGTAGGGGGATTCATTGGATAGCGCCACATCTGCCCCCGCGCTGCTCCAGGCAAGCATAGGCGCCTTAGTTCGATGGCGGTTCCGAGATGGTGCACAAGCATCAAATGGACCATCATGATGGAACACTAGAACACAAAAAAAATTATAAATTAATAAACAGTAGTTTAAGGAGCCGAATAAGAACGTACTGGGACCGACGCCAGTGAAATCAAGTCTGTCTATGACGTCCGCATGCATGGAGCCTTTCTTGCCTCGTGCCTTGCCCTTAGCCTTATCAAGAGCATTCGCTGTGTGAAGGATGGAATCCTGGGATAATGAACGACGACCGTTATATGTGGGACGTAATGGGGAATTTCCCTGGGCACTGATAAGTGAAAAGATTAGCGTCAGTGAGAAAAACGAGTGAGACAAGGACATACGTTTGACTTCTTCCCATTCTTGTGCGTGAAGACTGATCCACACCTCTGACCTGAACAGTGTCCCTAACAGCCTCTACGATTGTATTATCGCGATGTGGGAGAGATTTGGTAGGAGATGGGGCCATCCTATTGTATTGAGGATATTTAGGCGGAAGCTCTGGGGGAAGGCGGGGAACAGGCTTTGATGGGTAAACTGGGTCTGAGAAGGGGTCTGAGTGAGATCTGTGGCGGGTTCTACTATGTTTGGGTGGTTGGGTTGGTTGTCTTGATGTAATATGTTTGCTAGCTGGATTATTGGAAGTACTCAACAAATGCGGGGCGGCCATGTCACCCTTGTTCACCTATTGACACGCCCAGACCAAGCGTTATTTACTTCAAAGAAGAATATTTAATGGTAATGCTGCTCGTCGTTTGCGATAACGAAGTTAGGCGATTGTGGACGTCGACTGTGACGGCGGGAACGATGCTGTCACCAAGGCTATGTTTGCCCTATTTATACCAACTTTGCAATCCGGCCGTAGTGTGTTATCCACTTTCAGTCACTTACGGTTAAAATTTCAAAGTAACTTTGTTACTACCTAATTTCATCGCCTTGCAGCAATCTGCTGCCATGGGTGCAACGAAGAAGGAATGGACCAGAGAGGAAGTCGCAGTCCGCATTCTTGCTGGTGAAGCACTGGTTGTCTACAACAACCAGTTGCTGCGCATTCCCCAAGCTTGGTTAAATGCCCATCCAGGTGGTTCCCTCGCAATTCTTCATTTCGTAGGACGCGATGCCACCGACGAGATAGACGCGTATCACTGTGACCAGACTCTTGCAAAGATAAAGTCGTACGTCATTGGCACAGTCGAAACCTCGGGCGGCATTTGGGAACCTCTTGTACCCCCAATCATGACAGGTTGGGTTCGGAAATTATCTCATGATGGCAAAACCGCATGGCACAATGAAGCCACTCCACTACCACCTTCCAATCTCTCCTCCGAGATTCTCCTGGTCGAACGTGACTCTTGCCTCCTTGAAACTTCAGGTCCCACTTTATCTCATTTGGTTCCCCCTGCAACAAGACTTTCCTTGAAAGACCAAGCTCGTCATTCTGCTGCTTACAAGGCGTTGCATAATCGCATCATCGACGCCGGTCTTTATAACACGCGTTACATCACTGGTTATGGCCCAGAGATTGCGCGCTATCTTCTCCTCGCTGCGTCATCCTCAGTAGCTTACTCCCATGACTGGCTTATAATAAGTGCTGTGTGCCTCGGCCTTCTATGGCACCAGCTCGTATTCACCGTCCACGATTTAGGACACATGGGTGTCACTCATGATTGGACCAAAGATCGCCTCATTGCCATCTTATTAGCTGATTTCATCGGTGGTTTGAGTGTCGGTTGGTGGGTTGACGTAAGTTCACTTACTTCTCCCACGTTCACTCGCTGAACACCTGTCGTATCTCAAGAATCACAACGTGCATCATTGTGAGGCTTCACTTTGCAACATACTTTGGTCTAACTACTGATACTTGCTTAGTGGTTACAAATCACCCTTCGCAGTAAGTTCGATGGCTGTTGTCTCACTGCACATACATTTTAAAAAATGACAGTGATCCTGATATCGAGCATCTACCATTCCTCGCAATCTCAACGACATTTTTCAAATCGTTATGGTCGTCGTACTACAAGCGAACCATGGTCTTCAATCGAGTTTCTGCTTTCTTGATTTCCATACAACATAAGTTATTCTACATATTGCTTGGTTTTGGCCGCTTCAATCTATATGCCAATGCATATGGATTCTTGTGGCGCAAAGCCTTCGATCATCGAAGAGCGAGGGGTGGCCGGTGGTCCTGGTGGCTCGAAGTCGTCGGCGTCCTCTTCTTCTGGTTCTGGTATGGAGCAGTCCTGAAGGGATGTGGATCATGGAGCAGAGCCATTACGTATCTTATGGTCTCGCATGTCGTCACAAGTCCTCTTCATGTCCAGGCACGTGACTATCTTGGTGTATTGCCCGTTCATTAATGTGGCCACAGATCGTTTTATCACATTTCTCCATGTCTACGGAGGATTTGGGGCCGGTGGAATCGTTCCCGCACCGCCAACTTCGAACTACAACAGACGTCATATGTCCTCCTCGCCTTTCATTCATCCATGGCGGATTGCATCTCCAGGTGACTCATCACCTCTTCCCGCGTCTCCCACGACACAACTTGCGTGAGGCTAGCGTCCTGGTGAAGGAATTCGCCAAGGAACAAGACCTCGTGTATGCCGAATTTGGATTCATTAGCGGTAATGGAGAAGTGCTGGACGTGCTCAAAGGTGTGGCGGATCAAGCAAAGATCGTGGGTATGGTCGCCGATCACGAGATTCGGGAGGCGATAGAGCAAAAAGTGCGATAAACGCATGGGACTCTTCGACAGAAGCATTACTAGATCCAACCATAAGATACCTTCATCATCTTCACGTTCTGATACATCATGACTATATAGATAGAACGTGTGATTGAAACACTGAAGTGGCTTGCGATTTCGATGCAACGCAAAACAGTCGTGTCCATGAGCATACGTAACGCATGTGATGCCCTAGGCACAACTTGTCGTACCCGGCTTTTAGGAGCATACAAGAGGGTAACCGGAAAGCATGATGTAGTGTGGTAAAACATAAAGAAGAGAAAACTACTTTTTCTTGTTTGCTTCCTCTTCCTCCTTCTGCAGACAACAACATTTCGTTGAGTAGCTGAATTCATGACAACTGGTGGACAACAAACCTTGGCTGCCCGGATTTTGCGTACACCCTCATACCGAGCATCAGCTCGTGCAACGCGAAGGGTCTTGAAAGCCTCGAATGACCGTTCATTGTCTGTGATCTTGCGAGGTGCTTCATGAATGTAGGGTGCAGGAAGAGGAAGGTGCGTGCGTGTAGTCTCAGCCTCGAGATCAGCACCCTATCAAGCAAAATCAACATCGATCCAATATTCCGAGGGCGAACACTACACACAGTCGAGTCGCCCTTCTTGGGCTTCTTAGCATTCCGAGGGAAAACGATCAGCTTGGCCTTGTAGGCCTTCAACCGCTCGACATTCAATTTCTTCCCCTCCTCGCTCAAGTTCCTCCTCCTGTGGTCAACAACAATACCTACACCAAGTGCTTCTTTGCGGTTGATACCAACTTCTTTCAGCTCAGCAAGGGTGAAACCGCGGCCCTCCCGGACCTTACGGTTGTAGCGAACGGTTTGGGCACGAACGGCGGGACGGAGGAGAGTGAGTGGGCGGACACCAAGGGCAGCGGCCTTGGTCTTGCGAGCATTGCGTCTGCGGAGTTTGCGACCGGGCTGGTCGAACCAGGTGCGTACCCGGCGCTGCCAGTCTTTGCGGAAATGGTTAGAGTGAAGTACTGTGGACACATAATGTCAGATCGGACGTGTCGAACGAAAGTTTCCGATGAGATACAGACCGTTGTTGTGCGCGAAACCCATGGCTTAGTCTAGAGCCAAAATTATAATGTCAGCACAATGATTTTATGATGTAGATGCATGTAGAGTAGTACATCTGACAGCATATGGTCGAATCCAGCTTTTCCACCTGCCTGTCCGCACCATTTTCTCCGATCATATGCAGCAAAGGCAGGCCTTCGTATAACAGAACACACAATGGACGAGCATACTCACCTTGAGGACGGGCTTTCTTGACGCTGAGGACGGCGAGCAGCTTACCACCCAGCACAAGATTTGGACTTCGGCGATTGCCGTGGGTTGATGCGGCGATTGATTTTTAGAAGTTAATGATCACGTGGACGTTGTAGTCACGTCCGTCGTTCTCGACGCGTTGACGCGTGACGGCTACGCATGCTTCATTGAATTTCCGTGAGGTCTGTGGTGATATCCGCCTCCTTCTTCATAGCAGGCTCTCTATATTGTAATGCGACACAGCGAAAGCAAAACAAAATGAGCCTTACGGCTCACGGAGAAGGCAGTTGAAAAGATCAATTATCAGAAGCGACAGTGTTCAATTCTTGGAGGACGGTACTATTTAAATACCTTTATCTATGCCATTTTGATCTCTCAGGCCCGTTTGATAGCTATCCCTGAGGCATCAACTCAAACTTTGGGTACATGGTTCAGGCTTCAGCCCTATGCTTTCTATGAAATCGCACTGAGTACGAGAAACTCCTCGAAAACTGTGCCACCACGTTAGCCCGCCGTCACATGTTCTAGTCTGACTGTTGTAGGCAGTGCATCGTTTACTGGAATCTTATCAAGAATTCAATCAAATACATCGCACATGATCAATACACTGTAATCGGCTGCAGTCACGGTTTCCCCCAACACTTCTCACCCGTATCAAAACTGGCCTCAACGTTTCGGTAGACGATGCAGAGGGGAAATCGAGCTGTGCTTACTCGTTGTCCCTCCGAATCCAATTCCCCACTTTCATGGTCAATTACTGGATAACAACTCATGATGTATATCGTTTATCGATGTCTGCAACACCACTCAGGGTCACAGGTGTTCCCATGAAATGATGGACCTTGCGGCCGCAGGCACGCGCCGCTGCCTTGCATCCAAGCCGTCTATGTAACCTCTTTTGTGTCCATTGTGAAACATTTCCTCTCCTGACACGATAAATGAAATGTAAAAGTCACCTTGTTATATGTAATGTATTATCAAAGCGCTTGTAGGATATGATGTCAATCAAACCTCGAGAGTGCAGTGTGAAGCTTGTTTATTTTTTCTCATGGTTGCACCGTCATGGAACCCCTCGTCTAATTACATACCTAGAACCAGTACCTATGCTGACATAAGCAATTAATTGGCATGAGGTCGGCATTAGGCACGATATTTTCTGCGCTTTCTTCTTTGCACAAATTCTCTGTCATTATTCCTTGGCTGGGACTGTGTCCGTGTCTTTCTTTATCATTTTCTGCTTATCTGAGCATGCGAAACTCACCCCACCTTCGCTCGTTTACGTGCATAATTTCTTTCTTCTCAGCAGCACACGCATTCAGCGTGACAGTCGGGACTCCAACTCAATGCGACGATCTCTCTGTTTCATGGACTGGTAAGCGAGCATCTAGCATATTGGATATACTCCTGCTGAACTTGATAATCAGGTGGTCAGCCACCATTTGAGATCCTCTTGACTCCCGTTTGTCAGCGCTATCATGCGTGTCGATCACGCATTAACCTTACGCCTTCTAGGTTTTCGCAGTACCGCTGAATATATCTGTACCGGCATCAGCCTTCAGCAATAACAAAGGCTCATATACAATATCCCAATTGCCATTTTGGAATGCAACACAATTTTTACTCACTATGTCTGATGCCACCGCATTTGGCTCAGGTGGGACGTCACCCATCTTAAAGGTCGGTAATCCTGTTGCCAAGAACAACTGCAACACTACAGGTGCATCTGTGGATTTCACGTTTGATTTGCCAACATCACTCCAGCAATGCAAGTAAGTTTTGATTGGCTTACCTTTTGTGGCCTTGACCTATCATGGCCGTAGTGGATATACCTTTGATGACTATGGCAATGCAACCCAACCCATTACTATTACGGTAAGATTACCACCGACCCTATGATGGTGATGAATATACTTACCTTTCCACAGGCACTTATTCCTGGTGGAGAGTCGCTCATACTCTACCCTCCGATTGGCCCCAGTTATACTTGGGTTGCAGATGTTAGCGCCGGGACGACCCTCGTATTTGTGATGACAGATTCCCAGGGTAGGCAAGGTGGCAGTTCTGACCTCGAGACGGTGACACTTTCGAACAATGCCGCGTGCCTCAGCTCTAACTCACCATCGTCAACTGCATCTGTGCCTTCGTCCACCACAGCATCCACGTCAGCTGGCATTTCGCCAACGTCCAGCCAAAATACTTCATCAAGCAGTAATACTGCTACTATTGCCAGTGCGGCGATTGGTTGTGTGGTAGCCCTCGCCGCGTTGGCCTCCCTTGGCATGTTCTTGTTGCGCAAACGAAGAGCGTCTCGCTCTCCGTACGTCATATCTTCTTCGAAACGCCATTCACATCGACTCCCATCTATGGATCTCGACCACGAAGGAAGCCGATATGGTCACGTTCCACCAATTTACCCATTCCCATATCAGACAGACTCTGTCAACCATCTTGCTCCACCCATTCATCCCGCAGCCCAATCACACTTAACAAGTCCGTCCACTGACGATTTTGCGCTCAGCAATCCTCGCACACCATTTAGCCAGACACAGCATTCGCGTCAAATATCTAATCCAGACAGCTTCGCCGGGGACGGGGATGGTGGAGGTTCATCTATGACATCTACTGGTAGACGAAAAGCTGCAATGGCTGGCCAAACAGCATACAAACCTTCCACTCGGTTCATCTTACATACTGATGTGGAGGACATTTTGCCAGACGATAATGGCATAGTAGAACTTCCCCCGCAGTATTCAGAGCATCGGCAACCCCTTGCCACACAACCTGGGTCTGTACCAAGACCGATATCATCACAGTCTGATTACTCGGGTCCGACCGATCTAGCATATGCCAGTACCGCACTTGCTTCACCCACTTCGTCGCACTCTCCTTTACCACCTCATTCGTGATGCACAATCTATGTTGTCACAGTGCGCACTCTCGTCTCCTTGGATGTGTTGCGGACAGTTTTCTTTCGTATGGGAGGCGTCTCGTCCTCTATCTCTACTGCTTTTCTAGCGCTTCATTACAATTGTTATTTAATTCACTTATTTATGGCCAGCGCTAAGCTCGACATCCGCTCCCTTTACATTCGTAATATATATCATCCGGGACGCCACCACCGGAGTGCAATACAAGAGGAAATTTTGATACCTGTACGCAACTTGTGCTGGAAAAATTGTGAGAACAGACAAGCACATTGTGCATATCTTAAGACAGTTGATGGGATGAATAATAATGTCAAGTCGCCAACATATGCGGTAAACAAACATCAGTTTTGTCTAAATAGTACATGCTCAAAGTCAGGCCACCAGAATAAGAAGTTGTCAGGGGGTAGTGTTTAAAATACAATGTGCATGTTACTGCGCACCTTCAAGGTTGCGCAATCATGTACGGTTGTTGGTCAACACGCCGTTACTCTGTCTAATCCATCCATCGTCAAGAAGTGAATGTGTTCATGAATCTGGCACATCATCGCCGAGATGCTGTTGCTGGAATGCGTCAATCATTGCATCCTGGTCTTTACGACGCCTGTGTCTCCTGCGCCTATCCTCTTTAATGACACGCTCAATGCGCCGACGAGCCTTGGTATGGGTTCGTGGATCAACTACGGCAAGTCTGCAACGATAGCATGCAAGCTCAATGCTTGCAAGCAGGCGAAGCGTTTCGGAGTTGTTCACGGCCTGAAATTCGGTATGAGCTTGGTATGACACGATCAAAAAGGACGACCAATCACGTTCAAAGACCATGAGATAACCCGAGAACCCTCCACGCAACCGACGACAACGAAGTTGCCGCGTTTTTCAGCCTGGAGCTCGGATACCTGCGTCCAGTTGCTTAGTTTCATGATAGTAAAGTGAAGTCATTGCTACCTCTCCGAATGCGACCAACACTTTGCTAGATGTCAACGAGCGTACAACTGCATGGGGATATGATTAGAGATCGAACGTAATCTCGCGAATCAAACGATGCTTACCGACACGAGAGGCCTGGCCTACTACTTCCTGTGACACTAAAGCACGTCCAAGATATGCCCAGGAGTCCTTCTCAGGTCGACGAATATGCACCTTGACTTGGATATCTCGAAACTCGCGGACAGGCGGCAGGACATTGGCTATTCCCCAAACCAGAAGCCAAAAACATCACACTTGAGCACAATCGAATGTTTGGCGAATCACTGTACGTACGCATCAAAGAGGAAGTGTATTCACTCTCAATACTGGGCAGCCGCGGCGCTACCTGGACGGAGGAGCTGCCGCCTTCCATCACGGCATCATTATCCATTATGTGTATCTGCAGATTGCAGGATCAACCCAAATTCAGTTCATAATAATGCTGGACAAACTTCTGTGAGTGAGGACCGTTAAAGCTCGTCGTTGCGTGCGTCTGACGTGCAGTGGGGTGAGGCCTCGGCTGAAAGGGCTATTACTGCATGCTCACGTGACTCATTATCGGTGCAATACGACTTGGAGATTCTTTGGGCTTTCTTAGGCTTTCTCCCATGAATAAAACCAACCACGAGCACGACCAAAGATTACTACGCACCTGCCGTATCTATCATAAATTATGATCTCCCTTGAATGACTTTCGAGCTGGTCCTTTCTTTTCAAAGGTGCCCAAGCATAACATGAAAGAGTTCTTGCTACTCGCGAGCCTTTGAGCCACTAAATCACTATATACGAGAGCTTGCCGGCCAATGAAGATCAGAACTGGCTTGTATTCATCAATGCATTCATTCAAGACACTCCGCCGCACACGCGTGCCCCGCCCGCTGACAGCAGAGTCTTCCGAAGAGTTTGAAGAACCATCCTCTCGGTTTGCTCACGGAGATGAGCAAGTTTCACAGAAGTACGTGATACAATTGGAGGACTTCGAGATCGAAAGAGCAAACGACAAGACAATGTCCCAATGAAGCTGGAATACCTTGTTTGTCGATCGCTTATGCCAATCTAATTTATAACAGTACGACAAGATGAAGGCTGTATTGAGAGTAGTCAGGGATCAACCAATGCTGAAGGCACATCTGGTAGTGTGGAGGACGATGACGAAGACCGCTCACGCAGGAACGAAGAAAGTGCGACAACCCCCTACTTCCGGAAGTCAGGATGTGGAAGAGACGTTTAAAAAATGTCCTCCCATGACATCGAGATTATCAAGCGATTGCTTGAGTACATTGGCTACAGCAAGGATCGATCTAAAGTGGCGATAGCAGTTGATGGGAAATCGGGGATGAACAACTGCAGTCTATAAAGACTTGGATTAAGCAGCATGGACACAAAGTGGACAACCGGCCGAGTGATTTTAATGCTGGCACGGATGACTGCAGGAGATAGGATATCATGGGTTGAGTTTAACGTGAATATACGAGATACTCCACATCAACGTGAACAATGACGTAAAAAAACAAGAGTGACAAATCAATTATCGTGAGTCGGGTGCAAGGAAATTACCTGCTACCAAGCATAAATTACGGGGGGTGAAGTGCACGTTGGTGATAGGGGTCCGTTTGGTAGGGAACGTCGCGAGTAGGTCAGATCTGATAATGATGTCAATATCAACGACGCAGGTTATGTTGCATGGAACGAACGTTTCATTGTTTTCGTCGTCGATCGTCCGTGTGATAGTAGATTCAGTAACGCCACTCTCCCGTGATTTACCGGATCCACCGGCTCCCCTCACGTCCCAGCAACGTACCGTCCAGTCTGCACCTCCACTAACAAGCATGGATGATTCGGCACTAAATGACAGAGAATATACAGATGCTGTATGCCCAGTCATTTTTTTGATACGACGTCCAGAGCCGAGATCCCAAAGATTGATTGCGAGGTCTTCGCCTGCGCTGGCGAGATATCGTCCATCTGGACTAATGGCCAACGTCGAAAGGCTCCCTTGATGGCCGATAAAAACACGAACGCAAGCGCCACGTTGAACATCCCAAAGCCGCGCAGTCCAATCACTTGAACCCGTAGCGAGGTATAACGAGTTAGGATGGAACCGGACGCACTTGAAATAACAGACATAAAATCAGTTATGGGGAACTTATCTTCTGCGAGGTCACTCACGTCCACATCACTCAAGTGCCCTGCATAGATTCTCAAACACGATGTGCGGTCTGTTGACCATAACCTGGCGGTTCGATCACGGCTTGCTGTTGCAAAATAGATGCCCATAGGACTCCACTGAACGTCCCATACAGGGTTCTGGTGGCCACGAAAAGCAACGACATTCGTCATTGTGTCAAGAGACCACAGTCGTGTAGTTGCATCTGCTGAAGCAGAAAGAAGGTATCTTGGGGGCACAGCTGATCCTCCCAATGGATCAAAGGATAAAGAATACACAGGACCACTGTGGCCGACAAGCTTTCGGGTTGTATTTCCTTCTTTTTGCTGTATTTTCGACAACGACCCAGCTAGCGTTCGAATAAACATCATCGTTGTCACTCATTCAACTTAAGAGACTCACAATCCTTCACTGAACTCAGAGAGAAGTCATTGCGTAGTCCCTTGAGTTTTTCATTCTTCAGGCTCCATAAACGAATGTAACTCTCAGAAAAGCCGGCCGCCATCAGAGTCAAGTCAGGTGAGAAGGTGCAACACGGCGCACTGCTCAAATCATTTCGTTAGGAAATATGCTGATTCTGTTTCAAATACTTACCCTTCTCCGACGTCATGTAGCGTATACGCGCAAATGCTGGGCAAGCCACGCGCACGAGCAGCGCCTCCTTGCACCGAGTTCATGTCAATAGAACTTAGCGCAGAGGGCTCGAGTCGTATACGTTTCCTTGCATCTCGTACTTTCTCGACCTCTCTTTGAACATCAACCGTTTTGAACGACTGGGGATAAGGAAGCATGTCTGATTCAGTGGGTGAGATAACTCCCAGGACAGCTGGAGGCCTCAGGAATTGCAAGTCGTATTGAGCATTGGGATCGCGGTCCAGTACAGATTGTTCGCGGATGACGCGTTCCGTCTCCGCGCGCAACTCTTCAGAGATGGGGGCAGGGCCAAGTTTTAGTTCGCCTTTGGAGGCATTGAAAGCATGAGGATTAGGAGTGGCAGAAGCGCTTGTTTGCGGAATGAGTTGCGAAAGCAGGCCAGTTGATTCTTCCCATGCATTGGGCGAAACTGCTGTAGCGCTCGCGGCAGTCACTAGCCTGAGTTTGAGCTCATACACATTGCTTGAGAGGTCAAAAAAATTACCATCAAAACGAAGATGGTTGTTCACCACTCGCATAATTGCTGCTCGGCCTCTCTTTCCTTTCTCGCCAGAGAAGCCATCCCCTGCACCAGTGGCTTCACCTCCAACTCCTTCTGTCAGCCATCCCACCAACAAGCTGAAACCTGACCGGCTCATTCTGATGACATATTTTTCATTTTTGAAGCGCTGTGCATCATCATCATTTTGAACATGTGAGGGAAGCAGGAGAGTCGAGAGATGATGTAAAGTAGCGTGATGCATCGGGGCTAAAGACGGCGAATACGTCGCGTAGAAGCGCAGGGCTAAGAAAAGCAGAAATATCGGTCGAACGAATGCAGCAGAAGGTTTGCCAGACATACCAGCTTCCTTGAATCCTCGCTGGACAAGATCCAGATGGAAATGGCAAAATATGGGAAACAGGATAGGTCGGAATTCCGGCTACGTGATAGAATTAACCTACATCTATGGCAGATGGATGCTAGAGTACCTTGTACATGTCAAGTGAACCTTCAACCCACGCTTCGAGCTCTCGGAATCCCTCCTCCTTGTCCGTTGGATCAACAGACAGTATATCTTCCGCGCCGACAGTCCCAAGGCTAGCAATCAGGTTCTGTATACTCGGCGGATTTCCCATCGCCGTCAGTTCCTGTAGAACGTTTGCACTTTCCTTCAATACATTGTCCCCCGGGCGCGATGGCTTTTGTGCATAAACAGCAAGAGTCTTGATGAGGTCTTCAGCAGATACCGTCTTCGCAGACTCATCTACGCTCCCGCTTTCAAGTGATTCATTAAGAGCCCTTTCTGCATCCTTGTGTCCTCGAGAGCGAAGATACTCCAATACCAGACGGTCAATTGAGCTTACGTTCTGGGTGACATCGGGTGCACTGGCGTTGACTGGAGAAACACCTCCAGAAGACGAGGCTGCAGGCGTTGCAGCAGACATAGAAATAACCAGTTCAATGTCCGGTTTGTAATGTTAGAAATGATTGTACCGCGACGTCGAGGTCCCTAATGTTCAACAGAAGTGTTCGACTACGTAATCAACATTACGATTGTAATTTACAATGAAAAGATCGGTAATTTAGTTTGTCTGTTGACTCTGTTCAAACGTCCAACCCGTGAATTAACTTCTTCGTGCTCTCTTAGTGGTACCTCCTCTCCCTCCGCTTGATCGGCTGCAGGCCCCGTAAGAAGCCGACTGCGACGCAGGACGCTTATTGTTTGTCGGTGTGGGTTCAGCATTTGCGTATCCTGCTCTTGCACATTCCTTGTCGAACGCTTCTACCAGAGCATTAAAATCAACTTCTACCATGCTTCCAAACAGCGGATGACTAGTGGACCACTTTCCCGCTGTCAACCTGGGAGACGTAACACCAAATGCCATGCGCGCGAGGAGGCGAGGGTCGTCACGTTCGGGACATGCGTTCAAAATGGCCTTGATCCTAATAGGATCAGGCAAAGTGGTGATCCCTGGCTCAAAAGTTATGCCCTTGCCCGTTTGACAGAAGCTGCACGATCCGCACAAGCCAGTAGGAATGGCCGCCTCATCCCCGAAGTATGAAGCAAGACACTGTGCCATACCTATACTCCAGACATAAGCAACATATATGCGTCAAAAATTGTGGACTCACATTCGTTATTGGTAGCAAAATTAATCACCTGTCGGAGCTTGACTATGGCCTCCTCCTCTTTATCGAGCATACGGTTGTACATCATCTCGGCGATATTTGCTATTTCTTCCTTTTCCATCGGGAGAGGATTGAGTATCTTATATCGCTGCAACAACATTTCAGTCGACAAAATATTGGATCGATCAATCATACTTACTGCTCTAACCTGTGAAGCTTTCACATTAGCCCAACCTAGATAACAGATATAAGTTAGTACCAAGAAATGCTGCAGAACGTAGAACGGGATCCCGTACCGCTGAGCTCCCAATCACTTATTTTTCTCGCGAGATCTCCGCGATCCTGACCCGACTGCTGAGCTACAACAACTACATCGATCTGTGACAGATCGTTAGAGGGATGAACCACAGCACTTACAAAGGCATACCTGGTAAGTCGAACCGCGGGGTTTCCAGTACATCTTGATTATCTTTGCTGCCTCGGACTTATCACCCATTACCTTCTGCCAGCCGTCAGCTGTGCGCGACGATATATCATACTGAGAGTATAATGGCGTCACAGCACGGATGTAGTTGTACTCGAGCTCGAGTTGTGCATAACTTAAGCCCAGGATGGTAGGCTGCAAAAAGTGAGCGGCAATACAAATTGACAAACAAAATAATCTCGTACGCGAATATCATACCTACAAGTGTGACAAGATAAGGGACTGCCATACAGCAGAGACTCAATTGCTTACTCTTTAGATTGTTGGTAATTGTTGAAGCTCAATGTGCCATCCCTATCAGGTGTTTTGAGCGCTACTTCTTGGAGCCATAAGTGGAGGCTCCTCTTGCTGCACGTATCGCCGCGACAAAATCCCTCCAAAATAGGGATATCTGGCGCAGAAAGGAACATCAAGCACGTGGACGGTAAACCGTCGCGTCCTGCTCTGCCAACTTCCTGACAATAATTCTCAAGAGTCTTCGGCATGAACAGGTGGACCACCTGGCGGATGTTGGCTTGGACCAGTCAAGGCACTGGCTTCGAAATTTGAATTGAACGAACGACTCACCCTTATCGATTCCCATGCCAAAAGCAATGGTAGCACAAACTATACCATTATCTGAATCCATAAATTGCTGTTGGACACGTGCACGCTCATCGCCATTCAATCCGGCATGATACACCATTGGTTTCATTCCATGAGGGCGAAGATGGCCGGCAACCTCTTCCGTATGTTTCTGCAGGGTCACATATATGATTGCAGGTCCGGTTCGAGATTTCAAGAAGGGAATAAGAGTATCGAGTTTTTGATCTAGAGTATTTGCAACTTGAACTTTCAAAGCCAGGCTAGCATTGAAAACTATTATAAGTGGGGATAATGGGAAACGCGAGAGCACTTACTTTGACCGGTACACTGGGGTGCGAAACACACCTTTCCGAGTATCAATGAAGAATGATTTACAGATGTCTTCTGCCACATTTGGAGTAGCGGTTGCCGTCAAGCAGAGGACACGTTCTACATCCATTTCCTCTGCAAAACGCGCAATCTACAGGCCCATGAGTGCAAACCAGAACAGGCGCACGGCATGCTTACCTTTAAATACTCGGGCCGAAAGCTTGCACCCCACTACAACCCGCTCATGAATGACAATCTTGTGCAAATTATAACATACCAGACACACCTGCGAGATACAATGCGACTCGTCGATGGCTAGCAGTGAGATTTTGACATGGCTCATCATCGCAATGAATCCTTCATTATTCAGCCTAGAAAAATATTGTCAGAGTGATGCATGAGTCGTACATAAATGCGAACCTTTCAGGAGCCACATAAAGCAGTTTTAGACGCCCTGAGACAACCTCTTGTTTGACCCAGGCTGCTCGTTCTGCGCCCAACGTGCTGTCCAGGTTTGCAGCTTTCACCCCACGATCGACTAGAGCATCGACCTGATCCTTCATCAAAGCAATGAGAGGAGATATCACCACAGTCAGCCCCTGTAATAATGTCAGTGATGTCACACTCAGGAAATGTAACTACGTTACTGGAAGGCATAATGCTGGAACCTGATAGGTGAGACTTTTCCCACCTAAGCGGTGGTCGTTAACGCCTGTTAGTATTCGAAAAAACAGGTTGCATCACCTCCCGTGGGATATAAAACCAGTGCGTTCTCATTGTCCACAATCAGGCGTTTAATGACCTATGTAATTCAGTATCAGTGGCTGAATTTCACGTATGATGTGATAACTGGCCTCTTCTTGAGACAGCCTAAAAGATGGAAAATCCCATATATTCTTCAATACTCTATGTGCGTCTTCCATTTGGATTTGAGGTGAACACGCAGCAGAACGGGGCAACCGTGACGCGTGACATTTGAACAGTTGTTTACGCGTTGTTTGGTTGATTCCACATTTGGCGCTTTTCCCACACTTGCAGCAGAGCTTGAGCCTCGCTTCGACTCATCGACATCAATATGCATAGCCCATGTGCTACAACTTACCCAATCGTTTATCACTTTCCTGCGCACGCTGTGCATACTACCATTCAGTACGCGACCGTGTCCACCATCAATGTTAATGATTGCGATGATGTTGTCTCACCTTAGCGACTGGAAACATCATCAGTATGTGCTGTGCGCACCTGCAGAAAAAGTTGGACGTCGGGAATTCATAGGAGGCGCCTTTCAGCAGCGCCTGTACTAATTCCATCCCTTCCCCTGAGAATTTTCTCAAAGTTTATCAAACTTCAAATTCTTGGAACGTGCGCTGGGGCCCGCGCTCTGTCAATGTCAATGCTACCTGTTCCGTTTCCGAACCAGAAGAACTGCTGTGGACAGATTTACCGCTGCCCTGTATTTGATGAATTGTGGTCATCTCAGAGTTTGGATTCCGCTCATGGCGGGCATAAATCATCGTCGGCGCACCTCAGCGAGTAATAAGCAAATAACTAGACTGCAAGTCTGCAGGACCTTCAGCCATCAATTATTTTTGGCACGCGCTTATAGCTCTCCACATTCCCAGACTGTGTGTACACTCACAGTACGTGCATCCGCGTCCATCGGCAGGAGGATCGCAATGATGCTAAACGCTCCGCAAGTTCGGAACCCAGGCTGTCATCAAGAAGTTCCGGGTATCAGATGTATTCAGCTATCGAAACACTGTTGCAATTGGCAATCTGTCGCCAGTTCAAACGTTCACCGATAAGCCGTTCCGATCATGATAGCTGCGGTGATAGTGGCACAAACAAACGAAATCAAAAGGGTCCTGGCTCCACTGCCATCAACGGTCCATTTGCGCTGTCGAGAAACAAGTGCCCTTCCTCATCCATCACGTTCAGGCAACTTTCGATTGTAGATCCTATCATGGACAGTGACAATGGCTTTGAGCCCCCACCCAAGCGGCCATACCGAGCAAAACTTTCAGCGCTAGTGATGCCGTCAACCAATGCCTCCCCTCGCCGTTCACAGTACCGCATGGCTATCCAACGAGGCAGGGTCCATCACATTCCAGGATCTCGCAAATCTATCGCTTTTCATTGGCTTCCTAAGCAGTGGGATCTGATGGATCTATTCCTTTTACTGCACCATCTCGAACATTCTTTCTACTTTCAGCCCGCATAATATCCGATGTCCCCCAGCCAACTCAGGCCAACTCCCGAGCACGCTTGCAAAAATAACTTGGAACTGATTGTTACTGACGTTGAGCACATGGTGCTATATTCAGATGTGACTTCAACTAGTAACTGCCCGATAAAACATGCGTTTCAGTACACCGTGACAATACATCTAACATATATATTCCAAACACACTATAGATATAGTATCGTTACAAATTAACTACATGAGACTCCTCCACGAACTTGAAAACATGCATTACGGCCAAAGCAAAAACCTAGAAATGTTCCTGTGAATGCACACGTTCAGCATTAGAATGAACAACCAATAATGAAAAAACAGACCTTGGCAAATGTGAATTCGACATTATTGCTACTGTGCATGAGAGTTGCTGCCTTGATAGATTTCGCGAGTACACCCGGACCACAGAAGTAGGTCTGCGAGAGCAACCATGAGAACAATTATCAGGAAGAAGACTGAATTCTTCAGACTTACACCAACTTTGGTCTTCAACTGTGCACTGCTACCAGGGAGATACTGACCGATCTCAATTGCTTCCCTGATCCTGCGGTAGATGCTCTTCCAATCGGGGCGGCCAAACATGGTGCGAGTACGAAGCAACGTGAGAGGATCATAATCGGCACCAGCATCGTTGACAGCGATGTTCCAGAGCATATCTTCATCGATCTTTTGAGTGAGGTAGATGTTGATATGTAGGAAATTTGCTTGATATTGCATTTGAGCTGAATATTTCCTAGGTCGATCAAAATAACTCACGGTCAACTTGAGCTTCCTCAACATCTTGCAATAGGCTCTGGAACCAGCCAAACGAGGGCGCATCACGACAAACCCAGAAAAATTCGACCCTTCGGAGGGAACCAAGATCACCTTTCTTTTGACGGTACCAGATATGCTTGAGAATTGACGCGAAGGGAGTGACACCTATATAAATTTAATTAACAAGCATTAGGCCCTATGTCGTTTCTTACCGATACCAGCGCCAATTAGCACAGCAACCTCGTTATCGAACACATCTTCAGCAGGAGCGCCATAAGGCCCGTCGATTCTAACGCGAGGAAGTGAGCGGGAAACATTGGGTTCGAGCTCAACAAATTCGCCACGAGTGCCGCCGTACTCGGTTTCGTCTTTTTCAATGCCCTTCATGGCGGCTTTTGTCATCGCAGCAACCACAGATGGACCGCAGCCAAGCCGCTCTCCTAGGGAGTGAGTCCAATCACCAACTTGACGAATGTGAACGGACACATAGGGGTCTTCAGGAGCAGAAGTGATAGTGAACTATATTTTTTACGGCGGTCAGAAAATACGAAAGTCGAGCGGCGATCTACTTGTTACGCACAGGATGCCATTGCCATTGGGAAACTTCTGGGACCTGAATGAAGAGCCACTGGCCTGCCGTATACTTGAAACTAGGTTTGATGATCCGCAGTTCCATGGCTCCACTAGGATGCACAAGAACTTTGGACAGCGTTGTTGCCCTTCGAGCACGATATTCCCTGTACATCCTTTCACCGAAGTAGATAATACCAGGCCAAATGGTGAACCTCCAGCTTTCGTAGCCAAGACAGTGCTCCGTAGAGTAGAAGGGGAAAGTATAAGTGTAGTCCGGATTTGCAGAGTCGCGGACAAAGCACCCAGTGGCATGGCTGTAAAGGCCAATGAAGAAGAAGAAGGCGAGGTGATGAGTGTACCAAAAAGCTTCGAAACATTGGTTGCGGATCTTGTGGTGTGCAGTGGTATACATGAGGACCATGATGAGGAGCATGAAATGGCCAGTTATACCGCCAGCCTGTGTATAGTGAATCTGCAATGCATACTCCGGACGAACCTCTGAAAGAAATTAATAACGAATGTCAATCCAAAATTCACTGCAGCACTCACGAGTGCGCTCGACATTGAAAAAGTTGACATAATGAGCTGTAGTATGTACCATTGCCCAAAATGCCATCGAGTATGCGACCTGTCTATGGAACCAGATGTTCTCGTCGGCAGGGAAGAGCCACGCGAGCTTGGGACGAACGACGCGAATGATATTGCGCAGCATGGGGACCAGGAGCAGTCCCGCGTTGAACGCAAGAGTGAGACCAGCACCACGCGACGTCCAGACAGACCATTTCAGAGCATTGAGAGCAGCCAATTTAGTGTCAGTGGCCTGTTAGATGCGTAGTGAGTGATTGTCGAATCTGATGCGGTGAATGAGGCTCACTTGCAGATACCAACCCAGAGCGAAAAGGGTTAATTGGATACCGTAAAATATGACATTGAAAACAAGCCTCCTCGGGTTGAGGAACTCGCTCTGAAACCAAGATTCACCCATGGTATGATGTTGGGGAAGTAGAAAAGTGGGGCCTGCCCAAAATGTAGGAAAGAAAGACGAGAAAAAAGAAGGCGCTAGATGTAAGAAGGGATTTATAAAGGGTACCGGACGGGACAATGACAAGGTGATGCCGGGATAGTAGAAATATACATAGTACAAGCTGTACCCCGGGAAGGCTGTCGCTATCTAGAATCTTTCCGGCATCCGACGTAGTTCACGGCAACTCAGTCATCATTTGTCCGGCTGTGCCAATTCAGCGCGTAGCAGCTCTAATTATAATTATTGAACATTGTCCATGGCATTGAGGCTGAAATTCACTGCCTCCCCGCGACAGTGATCGTCCCTATACCGTCCTAGATTTAGACCCAGGGCCGTGCTTATATATGAAATTCCATTCGATTTTGGTAGTCACGTCAGGCAAAGTAGTGACCGGGTGGAGAGGTCTGTCGAAACTCGGCGTTCGGCGGTGTTTGCAATATCGCCGCCTGGCTGCCTACCTAACTGTCGCCTTGCAAAATCAATCACTTGATCGTTAGACTGCCTATTATCCTAGACTCCAGTAGGCAGGATCAATGAAAATTCTGACAAGCTTGAAGTGAAACGATGGAGCCATATAAGGCAAAATGGCACGTGGTTTGTAAGATTTGTTTCCTTGACGCGACTTGTTCAACTGCTCATTGCACAGAACACCACTGTAATGGCTACACTAGCCCCCTTCTCTACGTCGTATCGACAGCAGCCAAGTATAGGCACACCCTCATCAGTATTTCGTCAGAACCAAAACCAACAAAGGCCGGCCTCTGCCCTTGACCTTCCAGGTCTCCAAAGCGCAAGTCGCGTATTGCACGACCAGTTCATCAAGGATGCCCAGATAATACCAGATATCGGTGACATGCTTACCACCCGTAAGTTGGAAACCCTCTGGCATATTCACATTATCTCTAACTTTCCTTGCCAGCTGGTGGGCAGTCGTCAGCACTCTATAGTGTCTTTCCCGACGACTACCGGGCACCATTTCAGAAGAGGAGGCTTGTAGGCATTCCTGAAGCACTGTTTCAGTATTATAACAGTAAGTTTAATAAATTTGGCTCTGATGCTAGCCTAAAGCTTCATAGCTACCAACGTTACTTCACACATGGGTCTAATACCCGAAATTGAGCGTGTATGGATATCAATTGATCATAAGCTATTTCTTTGGGATTATATTGAGGGGTATGTATCCCTTTCATGCCTCTTTTCAAACTGATACAACCCTTCCAAAGCCAAGACATAAGCTCCTTTGTCGACCAACCGGACGTCATCACGCATGTCGCTGTCGTAAAACCAAAAGTCGGCGTCTTCGTCGACGAAATCACATCCGTCATGGTCATTTGCACTCCTGTATCCATTCTTTTAATTGGGTTGTC